AACGAATATCCCCTTCTTAGTACATAATGCAATCTAGAATTGAGCTGAGATGAATACTTCCAAAATTATCATCGAGCCAACTTGAGAAGAGGAACGCTAATTCAAGTAATATCTATGTCGTTCAGGTAGTGACATATCATTATGGTTGATCGACTCACTTAAGTTGTTCCATAACTTTTAAGGGTAGTACAACTCCCACATTTACTTGGATTCCTTAATTAATTCAAAACATATACTTAGTATAGGCCATAAGGGTATTTTGGTCATTCTGGTGCTCAGTTTTATTCCATTAATTTCAGAGCTCGAGGATATCCAATCATTCCTGAGTTTGGTGATATTCTTGGTCATTCCCATTCTAGGGGTATTTTGGTCAATTTACAGATTCAGTGTATTACAATAATTCATTCCGACTGATCTTATTATTAAATTCAAACTTATCATTTATGTCAATCCCTTCGAACTATTCTGACAAAATATCACTATCGATAAATTATTATTCATGTATTTATTCATAACTCAGAGATTTTCGGGTCAAGTGCCTTATCAGATGTTACAACAGGTTACCATGAATTTTCTATACCAATACAGGATCTTAATAATGAATTTTGTAATTTATCGAGTTAAAAACGAATCCTCAAAGTACATTCTCGTTCATGGTCAACTCGGACTATTTTTACCTTTCAAGGGCATTTTCATAATTTATTAACCAAATAATTTCGGTATTAACTCTTAACGAAAATAACTATAATTTAATGATCTTATGGTTAATTACTTTCCCGAACATTCTCTAATCTTGAAATGTTTCTTTAACATACTTCTAATATTTTGCATAAACCCTCTTGGGGTTAAAAACCGGTTATCCAATTTTTCTAAGCAAAACTAGCATTTATTATACACACCAGTAAATTTATCATATCAATATACCTTTTCAGAGTTATTAATCAACTTCCAGGGACAATTCTTTTCATTATACAATATAAGGGTATTTTCTTAATTTATCACTTAAACCGAATTCGGTTCAAATCCATCCATAATCAAACAAGAATAATAGACCAATCATATATATATCCATGCATTTATCCATTATCAACATGTTCCATAAAGTATAAAAAAGTAGTAATGTATTACCTCGATTTCCATTCCATACTGATCGACCATATAATTTCCATTCGAATGTCCTCGATCTTTAATTCAACTTCCAATAATTCTTCAAATATATAATAATAGAAATTTCATAAAAAACGGGGCTTAATTCTGAAAAACGGATCGAATCGGATGATAACTAAGTGAAAACCAGTTTATCGGGTTCGAATTTGGTGAAACATACCCCAAAAACGAACTCAGGACGTCGAAAAATGTCAGGATAAGTATACTAAAAAAAATTCAACAGTTGTTCAAGGGCCGGTCAACGCCGGTCAAAGTTCTGGTCAACGGCGGTCAACGTCGGTCAATGGTCAACGCTGGTCAACAGGTCGAGTCGGTCAGTCGGGTTGGACCAGGTCGAGTCGGGTCGGACTGGTCAAACCGGTTTTCTTTCTTTTTTTTTTCTACTGCCAGACGAAGCCCACTCTCAGGGGGTGGCGCGTGAGCAGTGTTACAGTGTCCGAAAAATTCCCGACAAATTTCTAAAAATTATTTTAAGGTATTTTGAGACACTTACTAAGCTCAGTTCAAAATTTTGAATGACCGAGAGCTCGATTCTGGAACATCGAAAACTTTGACTTCCTCACCCCTCCACGCGCCGGCGACGACGGAGACACGGAGATCCCCGGTGGACTCGGAACGATGTAAGGAACATGATGGTGTAGGAGGTGTCGAAAACGGATGGCCGGATCGACGTGAATCGATGAAAAACCGACGAAAATCGGGTTAAAATCGACGATACTTCCAATTGAAATTAACGACAAACGACGATGATTCACGACAAGAGGTTTAAGGGGATTTGTTCATCGGTCGACAACGAACACGATGGTAGTTTCGGTTCGTCGAACGGAAGCCGGACGGTGAGTAGATCGAAGATCAAAGTCGTTGACCGAGGAGAGGAAAAATGAAAAAAATTTCTGCAGAATTACGCGGGGAAGAGACTTATAATTGTCTCAAAAATAAAAATGGTTAAACTAAGAGTTTAGCCACTAAATTTCCTGAACTTTATAAAATGGTCTGCTAACTTTGAAATTTTTTAATTTAATCCTCAATTTTCTTCCCAAAATACCAATTAAATCCACCACTTTATAATTCTAAAATTTAGCCCCTAAATTGGGGTGTTACATTTAAACTATTGTGAGGACATGTATTCTAACTCTCGTTGAAACCATTATGATTCTCGTCAACAAAACTAATCAAATTGATTTGTCAGGATATCAATCAATTAATGTGACCGTATTAACATTCTCATGCTAATCAAAATCAATCCCAAAGATTAAACGCAAAGGAAGATAAATTTAATAAAAATAACATTCTTCTCAGTTCAACAAATGAGTTGGACAAACCCATGAAATACACAGTGAAACTAGAACAAAAACAATCTTAGAAACTTAAATTACAAATTGCAATAGCTGCATAACTCAATACAGTTGATGTTCTGTTGTTTTTCGTTTTCATTTCGATAGATAATTCGAGTTGTAAATAATGTTATAATTAGAGTTGAATTCTGGTGTTGTTTGGGATATTATTATTGTTGATGATAAATTGAATACATTTTTCACATGAAAAATAGTATGAGTTTAGAATTTAAATAGCAGGGTTTAGGGTGGTTGTGAATATTTATTAGATTAGTACTGTAGAAGGGGGAAATCACCATGAAAACCTCGTTTTAAAAAATAATAATTTTAATCATAACCTTTATCAGTGATGATATTCATATTTAATCAAATCCTTATTAAAACCTTTTATTTACTATTGTTTCTAAATCCAATAAAGAAATAATGATAAATAAAATCTGCAAGTATGGAAGGCTTAGAGCTAGGGGTGTTGAGTGGATTGTTACCTGGCTAGAACTGGCCGGAGCGTGGAAGGCTTCCACGGAAGTTGAGGTTGACTAATGGCTACTAAAGGAAGTTGCAACATGGAGACTAGAGGTCTAGAGCGGTGGAGACTAGAGGAGCTTGGCGTGCAGATTATAACATGGCCGTTTTGAGGTCTGGAGTGTGGCTGTTAGGAATTTCAATCAGAAATAATTTGCTTTAGGGCATTTAGATTTTATAATTAAATAGAGAGTTAATATATAAAAAAACTTAACCGGGTACCCGAAAAAATAAATTTTTGTGACCTGGGTCCGATCTGGAAAGTGTCGGGTCGGGTACCCGACTCGGCCGGATAATTTTTTTAGAAAATTAATTGGGTTTTTTTTATCCGGGTCGGCGGGTCGGGTCAACCGGGTCAGGTAATTTTGTATACCCCTAAGGAATGAGATTTTATTTTAACCTAAATTATAATTGATATTTCAGTTAAATTTTGGTGTAATTTTAATAGTAGAAGATTATTTGGTATTTTAATTTATTTAATAATAAAATATTTATTCTAAGTAAGAATTTTTATAGTATAAAGATTTTAGTGATTAAGTATTTTGACTCTATAAATATTAGCCTTTAGAGTTACAAGAGTGATTTGGGATACTCTGAGTTTTAATATAAATATTGAATTTTAGGATCTATATGATATCATATATTTTTACTGTTCATAATCTCTACGGTCATAGTGAATTATTATACTTATCATTCGTGGAGGTAAGCAAAACTGAACCATGTTAAATCCCTTCTCTTACACATGTCTTATTTTGTGTTGATTTCATTTTGATTATTTTTCCACTTATGAGTTCCTAACAAATATGATTACAATTTGTTCTATTCTTTCTCTTTGTAATTCTCTCCTTTATTTTTCTCTTTTATGTTATTTTCTCTTATTTCTCTTCTTATCTTCTTCATTATTGTAATCTCATATTCTTTAAGAAATTTAACTTGATTATTGGAATTCGTATCATTAAAAAATTGAATTCATAATATCAGTGATTTCGTTGAACCAACATAAGCCGTTAAAAGTTTACATGAGATATTTCATCACCACGAACAATTATTAGGCTCTCATCAAATTCATGTTGAGGAACATAAGCAAATAAACGAAAGAACCAACATTTGTTTAGGGTACTAACTTCAATCTCAACGAAGTTGGAACAGATGTTCAATGCACACACCAAAATTAATGGGTCGAGGAAAGTTACGATCAAACGAGATGACTTGAGCACAAAAACTCATCAGGTGTCAACACTAAAAAAAAATGACGCTACAGATCAAACAAAATAGAGTAATAAGGGACTTGATTTTCTAATTGATACATTGAAGATTATAGATCCATCTAAAACCATCGAGACAACAAAAAGTCATGTGAAAGATCAGTATATTTAAATACAAGAGCATTTGTCAAAAGAGAGAGAATAAATATGTAATGAGCATAAAAAATCACGTAAATGGCAATGAATACAAAATTTATAATTTTAAATTTGATTTTCAAACTATTAAATAATTAGGATTAAACTCTCTGATGTGTGTGATATATTACCGACAATGGATATAAATTACAGCTTAGGGGGCTTGCATATAAGGTACTATCTATTGGGTATTTCACGCTTTTCCCGTTGGGACCATCTTAAAGGTATTGGCTAAGTTTGTCTATATTTATAAGTTTAGGGTTTTGTTAATAGGGAAGTGTATGACCAATTCATTAGAAGTTTCGAAGCTAAAGATATCAACTTTGTTTTTGTCAAGTTACAATCATATTGGCATGATGTTACTGAGAAAATGCAGAAGTGAATAAAAAAAATCAATGCGTAAAGTTCAATTATTAAATTACATTTTTAAACTGAAATGATTCAAATATGAGTGATAAGAAAGTTGAGTGATGGATTTAGTAATTTACCCATAAAATTAAGAAGATAACTGTAAAAAACGACCATAGGCCATTGAGAGCCTCACGCTTGGGATTCTCGTTTTTTTTTCCTCCCTCTACCTTGCTTTTTATCAGATAAGGTAACCTCCTTGTGAGTTCCCCATCCATGGCGGAAGCTTACAGAATCTTCCATGCATCCCTCTTCCCATCGCTTTCTCTACAACTCAGCAAGCCCTCTCACGGTTACCCTTCCCTCCTTTCTCTCAAGCAAGCTCCACGCACCCTTCAATGCTCTGTTTCCACAAGCGAATCCAAATCGAATGCCACCCAGGAAGTTCCCTGGGGCTGCGATATTGATTCCTTGGAGAACGCCGAGGCCCTTCAGAAATGGCTGTCGGTTTCCGGGTTGCCTCCCCAGAAGATGGCCATAGACAAAGTAGAAGTGGGGGAGCGAGGATTGGTTGCTTTGAAGAATATCAGGAAGGGCGAGAAGCTTCTCTTTGTGCCTCCCTCTCTTTTCATCACCGCGGATTCCGTAAGCTCTCTGTACTGCCTAATTTTCATTTTCTAAATATCTTTAGTGATGCAATCATATGGTTTTAGTTTGAAAAATTGAACCTATATGATATAAATTTAACCGAATCCAAATCAAGTAATTAAAATTTTACTCTAATCGAACTCATTGATTGGCTTCAGTGGTAAAGTGAATGTTCTTGAGGACCAGTGTTCGAACAGCTTGTTAATTAGCTAAGAGAATTCTGAACAACTAGGAGCACTTTACGTGGTTTGGAGTTCATATTCTTCTTTAATTTAGTTACTAACTGCTGATGTTATTATTGTATTGGCAGGAATGGAGTTCCCCTGAGGCTGGCCAAGTATTAAAACAGTATTCTGTTCCAGATTGGCCATTGCTAGCAACCTATCTTATTAGCGAAGCAAGTGCCCAGAAATCTTCGAGATGGTGCAAATACATTTCAGCCCTTCCGCGACAGCCCTATTCACTGTTGTACTGGTGAGTTGATTTTACTTCATTACTTTTTTCACACGGTAGAGCTCTTAAAGAGTTTTACCTTGCTACAGAAAGGGTTCTACTCTCAGATTTTCCCTCTACAGCTTCTCTGTATTGTTTCAGGACACGTGCAGAACTTGACAGGTATCTTGAAGCATCGCAGATAAGGCAGCGGGCTATTGAAAGAGTTAATGATGTTATCGGAACGTATGTCTCTCTACTATTACTCTTATCGGTCTGTATTCTCATATTACTGATGACATATTCCATAGTATAGAGCGTTCTAATTTGCTTCTGATCATTTCTCATAATGTTTCATGTAGATATAATGATTTAAGACTTCGGATATTTTCCAAATATCCTGATCTATTCCCAGAAGAGGTACTTGCCCTATGGTCTGCAACAATTTTCCACTATGTTAGTGTAATTTGAAGCATTCATCTGATGATCTGCTAATGTTGCCACTTCATGAAGCCTCTGCAATATGGCACAGTGAACATCTTTATGTGTAGATGATAGGATTTCCTTAAGTTCAATCACAAGGAAACATCAGTTTTTATCTGAGTTTTCGTACTCGAGCAAAATTAGTAGGGTAACTGAAAATATGTTTTCTGTAGTTAAGTTTATGTTTACTTTATGTTGTATACCAACCTTTTCTTTGCATATCCTGCATTCTTTAAATTTTTGTTTTAAATTGAGAAGTGAAGATGTTGGCATTTGACCCTCATGCATCAAATCTGAATTTCATAGACTCTGCTTACATCCCGTGGTTAATGACAGAGTACTCTTTTTATTTTTACTGTAAATGATTTACAGGTATTCAATATGGAGACATTCAGATGGTCCTTTGGCATTCTTTTCTCTCGATTGGTAAGTAATCTTACTTAGAAATTTTATAATGGGTGATTTGACCTGATCAACTCTGTGTTTGTAAATTCAACACATAGTTGGGTTTTTGACAAGTTTTTTATTTTTGCAAAAATTTTAGTAATTTTTTTAGGCATAAATTGATCCTACAATGCTGTCTAGAGTTTAGTCGTTTGTAACCGAGTTCTTTATTCGTTTTTGTTATCACTCTCAACTCTCAAATACTCGACCTATTACATGGAAATGAAAGTTGAAATCTTCATTTTTTTTATTCTGTTAAACTCAGGTTAGGCTACCTTCAATGGATGGAAAGGTTGCCTTGGTTCCTTGGGCAGATATGCTAAACCATAGCTCTGAGGTAATGAAAGATCTTTCTTAATTCAGGATGCATGCAAAATATGTAATTAGCCTAATTGCTTTTCTCTGGTTAAGGTGGAAACATTCCTGGATTATGACAAATCATCGCAGGGTGTTGTCTTTACAACAGATCGAGCATATCAGCCTGGTGAGCAGGTAAATGAGATTCTGGTATAAAATATTCTTTTATTGGAGGAGGAAGAAAAGCTTGGATTAGGTATTTTCCTGCTATGTACGAGCATTAGCCACTGATGTGCACATGCACGTAATGGTCTACAAGCATATGGCAAAATGAGTTTGGACCAATAATATCATGTTCATTGACAAAATTTGGAATGTCTTGTTGATTTTCATAATTTTATGCAGGTTTTCATATCATATGGAAAAAAATCTAATGGAGAGCTGTTGTTATCTTACGGATTTGTTCCGAAGGAGGGTACCAATCCCAGTGATTCTGTAGAGCTACCTCTGTCTCTTAAAAAATCTGACAAATGCTATAAGGAGAAGTTGGGAGCTTTGGGGAAGCATGGATTATCTGCGTAAGACAAATAAATATTTTTCCTGAAATTTCGGATTTGATCCACCGAGAACTCTTATTTTAGTTAATTCCAGTTCTTACTGACAGTGTTAAACATATTGATAATCACAAGTTTTTCTTCTGAAGAGATTCTTAATTCATGAACCTTTCTGGCAGTTCTCAGTGTTATCCCATACAAATCAGTGGCTGGCCGTTGGAGTTAATGGCGTATGCTTACCTGACAGTCAGTCCCCCAAGCATGAGCAAACAATTTGATGAGGTTTGAGAACTCTACCTTCTAAATCACAGATTATATATTTCCGTTACAGAGTTCTTCACATTTGCTTCTCCAGATGACTGCTGCAGCATCAAATAAATCTACCATAAAAAAGGACTTAAGATACCCTGATATTGAAGAAAAAGCGCTGCAATTTATTCTTGACAGTTGTGAATCGAGCATATCGAAGTACTCCAAATTTTTGCAAGTGAGGAAACAGACCTTCTTTAAGATCTTCAAAAATATGTTCATGTATTGATATTACCTCGCCTGATCCTTAAATACCTCCAAGTCAGTATGTCTTACATTTTATTTTATTCCTATAGGAAAGTGGCTCCATGGATTTGGATGTAACATCTCCCAAGCAACTGAATCGGAGAGTGTTTCTGAAACAGCTAGCTGTAGATTTATGTACAAGTGAGCAGAGAATACTATTCCGTGCTCAATATGTAAGACTACACTTGCTTTTTCCTTTCAAAATTGTATCATCTGTTGATGCTTGTTTCGCAACCAATCGGTTATGATCTGTTGTTTAAACTTTGAACACTGTCGTCGGGATCATGTCTTTAGTTAGTAATCTGCTTAGGCTCAGTGTTTTACCCTTGTTATCGAGTGAAGTGCTTCATGTTCTGTCATCAAACCCCGCCACTTATCTGAATAAATGCTTAATTGTTACTTACTGATTTGTTTCATGTGAATGGTTTCAGATACTGAGGAGGAGATTAAGGGACATTAGGAGCGGTGAACTGAGAGCTTTAAGAATCTTTGACGGATTGCGAAACGTTTTCAAATGAAGATTTTCTTCATGTACTCTGTTCTGGGTTTTTGTTGAGATTCACTGAGGTATCCAGTGAAATTCTTTCAGAATTAGCCCAAGGAATTCTTCATGTAATCGTAGAAATTTAGCAGAAGAAGTAATGACATGAGCCCCGACCAAACACGTCTGTTTTTATCAGCAAATTTTCCATGTTATGTTGCATAAACTTATGCAGGACATTGACGTTAAAAAATGAGATGTTTAGGGGAAATTAAGAGTTGAAATAACATGCCCAAAATCTACCGAGAGTCTAAAATGAAACTGGTTAATATAAGGTTTAAAGAAAATAGCAATAGATTGTAATCGCAAAATTTATCTAAGTGTTTTTTTAGAGTAAACTGAATAACATTTAGGTTGAAATCGAAAATATTACATTATCCATAATAAATCACGTAAATTGCATGACTATTCTGGTTATAATTTAAAAAGTTAACGTCGATAAATTTGTATAATATTATCGGTTATAACCCAAATCATTATTATTTTGTGTAATTTTTTAGAGTAAAAAGGATAACACTTTAGGTTAAAATCTACCATATTATAACACTCACGGTTGTTTAACCTTTTAAAATAAACACGATAACATTTTAAGTTTAAATCTATGGTAAATTAACCTTAGATTTTCTTATCGCACAACAGAACCATCGTCTTGACGTACACTAAAACATGTTCAACAAATAATAATAAATACCCTTATAGCCGTTTTAAGAAAATAAAACTCCAATTTAACAAAAAAAAAAAACAGAAATGAAAACCTAAATCTCATTAATACTGAGTCTTAAATTTTAAAATTTTAGCATAAACCTTGAATCTTATTTTATTACTATTTAGTTAACACAAAAATTTAAAGATAATTTAAGTCAAAATTGTTAAACATAACTGATACAGAGATAAGTGACTTACCGATATGTAACAAGGTGTTCATAATAAGTATCCACAATTCCGGATAAAATTATTTAAATAGAGTGAAAAAAGTCACTTATATAAAATGTAATAAAATTATTTTCTAAATAATGATATTTGTTATAGTAAAAATTATTTTTTGAATTATGAAATTTACTATAGTATTCGATAAAAATCGTTAAAAATTATACGATTTTCCACGTACAAATATGATTTTAGATAAAAGTCATCATATAATTCTAACAACCTCTATAAATTATTATAAAAATATCTTAATTCGAAATCTAAGAAATATCCATAGTGCTCGAATTCGAAATACCAAGGATAATAACAATTTCTTAATCACTAAAATTGCTTAGCTCATGCTGAATTTTGAATTTAAATACCTAATGAATCTATATTTTTCTTAAATAATCTAATATTTCAGCCCCTGTCAATATTTAATTACGACTCCGTCCCTAATTGCAGGCAAGAAAAACTAAGAAATAAACTAACAGGTTTGTAATTGAACTGAGAATTTCCTTTCCAACAATTCAAATAATCTTTTAATACAAAACTATAACTTCCCCAGCAGCGAGGAATTTTCCCTATTATTTTATTTTCTTTTTCTTTTGTGCTTAATATGGAAGTCACATGGATCACCCTCAAATATTTGAGGGAAAAAAATTACATATAACTTTGGTTTCTTGCACTGGCGATCAATAAGCATTTACATGAAAGAAATCCTTTGCCTTGTGAGGTTAAAAATCATATCATCTTCTCGAATTTATCGAGCTTCTTCACCCTTTGCATCGACCTAAGAAGAAGTGTCAAGAAAACTCCTGTACATGAGCAAGTTTTAAACATTCTCATCAGTCATGAAGATGGTGCCTTGTTAGTTATGCAAGTAAATAATTAAATAGCATGATTATATGGCAATCTAGGATAGATCACGCCACCTGCTCCGACGAATGATCCATTCGCAATAATTTGGCTTCCCTGACTGCTGAAGGTAACACCTAGATTTAGCAAGGTTCCTCCTAGTACCGTGTACATGGTTGCCATTTGCAGAATTGTTGCCTTCCGTGCTGCTCTCTCGGCCTGTTAAGAAGGTTTTTGCATTAAGAATTAACGGTAGTGAAGCAAACGAGAATGAGGAGATTCAAGTACAACACCGTAGTCTCCTTGAATCCTTTATTGAAATGTAATTTTCGAAATACAGTGTATTACCTCTAGCACCCTGACTCGGAGTCTCAAATCTCCTGATTCAAGTTGTTTCAGGATTTCTTCTATTCGTTGAACTCGGTAGGGCATAGATATGGTGTAGGACCTCGCCTGAAATATAAACATGTGCTATCAGTATCCACAATAATGAACTATATATACATTGATGGAAGCAAAGTTTCTATCTGATGGCAACTAAAGGAACTCGAGAAACACGATGAAAAGTGCAGTACGTCATCAGCTTGTTTCCTTATCTCCTGCACTAGTTGTGTCCCCGTTCTCTGCCTCTGTCTAATATCTAAAAGCTCCTGTAGGCAACATGAAATATTAGACCTTAACTTTTTTACTGTAACGAATTGCCACTGAATAGCAAACATCGTCAATAGAAAACTACGTTAAAAAAGAGATCGTGAAGAACCTGTGCATAAGGTGCAGCAATCTTTGCAAAAGAGAAATTTGGATCAAGTATGTACCCGATACCTGCAAGAAAATTACAATCCTCAAAACCGAGCACTGATGTTCGTAAGTTTATTCTTTTACTATCTTCAAGCAGTATAAAATCTTATGCCATCTTTATGTAAAATGAAGCTTAACTTGCAGTGACCGAGTTCACACATTATTATAATGAATGAGACTCACCTTCGAGTGTGGAAAATGCCCTCAAAACAAAGGTAAATGTGGATGGGAACCGGAATGGTTGATCCTGAGCTATTGCAAACAAATCCTGCACAAACGAACATATAAACAAAAATTATGACATTATTTGATAGAAGAAAACGAGGATATATCATGCTTTACTCCATTGAAAACTACACACAATTCCAAAGAATTACGCACTACAAACACATCAACTTCTATATAGTATTGAATTTCATGTTCCACACTCTATTTTTCTAATATTCAGGGAAAACATGCTACTGGTTACCAGTCATCAAAGTAAAACAAAATTCAGAATTGATTCTCTTGAAATCGACATATTGTCTGTTCTAATAGAAAACAAAATCGACATTAATCCATGAGAACTTTGTATGCAAGCAAGTTATAGTTGACCATTGTTTCTTTTCGTTTCTCCTTATCTACTTAATCGACACGACACTTCTCTAGTTTAGATGTTTTTTTTTATAAGATCTAGTTTAGATGCTAAACAAGAGTATTCACTTCTGCGCACCTCTCCTATAGCAGCTAAAGTAGCCTCCTGATCTGGCCTCTGGTTCAATAAATTGTCCAAGAAGAATTGCACGGATCTCCTCACCTAGCATCATGCAACAAAATAATCAATGAGGAATGCCAAATAAGTGTTTGTTAATCCATATTTTCCTCAACTTTTTCTGTTTTATATGAAAGAAGGATGATTAACCGATGACAGATCTCCAGTGGGTTGAAGGGCTCCAAGATCTATGAGGCTCTGCATAACCTGCATGGTTGTTTCCAGTTAGTTGTGGTGACAAAGGTCCGGATCTTTAGACGAACTACACCAAGGCAAGTTAAAGAATTTCAGTACGAACTTAATAATAAGGCTTAAAATTTAGTTACACCACCAAAAATGTCACTGTAATCTCAGTCAGACATAAATGAGTTTGGCAGACAAGAGAAAGCCACAGGCTTTTGTTTTTTATAAGTTGCATATAACTGTTATTTCGTTTCACACAAACCAAATAATATAGCTTGCATCATTTCAACTACTTTTATTTTCCCCGTCTATGAATGAATGTTTATCTTTGTTCTAATGGCCCATGATTCCCTACAGTTTACAAGTTAAATCCCGGAAATTAGATTCGCATATTATGACATAGTTGCAGTTTATTTGTGCAGTTGAATCCACTGTTTATGGAAATTTGGTCTTAAAATGAATATCTTAATATTACCGTTGACAATACAGAACAAGCAAGAGAAAGAAAAGGTTTGTTGAGTATGCAAAGATTCTTTTTACTACTTCTAACCTTTTTAAAAGGGGAAATGTCAAAGAAAAAGAATCACGAGATAGAAAGTACCTTTTTTGCATCTTTCTCATAGACTGCATAGAAAAGTTCTAGCAATCTTTCACGAGTGAAAGATTTAATCTCCCCCATCATACCAAAATCATAATAGATGATTGATTCATCTACATCAATGGCAAGATTTCCAGGATGTGGATCAGCATGAAAGAAGCCAGTTCTCAGTATCTACAATTCATGACAAAGTCTAGTGAATATTTTGCCGGTTGTCATTATATTTTAGAATTCCAGAATAAGTAGTCAGACTGCCATTCGAGATATGTCATCTTTACTTGCCTGAATCAAGTATGCTTCAATGGCACGTGATGAAATTCGAGAACGATTATATCTCCGGGCATCTAATGCATCTAATTGATTTATTTTAATGCCTGATACAGAAGTAACAATGACACATCAATTATAACCAGAACAAACTTATTGCGATGAACTTTAAAAAGTTTTCAGCTGCAGAAAAATGCCATCACTTGAAAGAAATCAAACGCATTAAATTAGATGGAAACCTGGTACATACTCCAAGGTCAACACCTTTGTAGCAGTGTAATCCCAAAACACCATCTGCAAGGCAAAGGGAGCCTTAAAGTTAAACTGAAAACTACTTCCATGGATTAGTGAAAGGCAAAAGATGGGATTAATATAACAGAAAAAAGAAAATGAATAAGCATTAACATCTAGAAGAGTGATAGCACGAAACATACAGGTACACGGACCCACTTTATATTTCGAAAATCTCGACGAAACCTATCAGCATTTTTCCCTTCGTTTATATAATCAATTTCTTGATACAAAATCCTGATATCAAAGAAAATGTAATTAGTTAAAGTACCTATGGTTTTATAACATAAAAACAATCATTAAAAACTAGTACATGGTTGCTACTTACATCGAGCATTCCTCATATATACCAACCCAATCTCTTGTTGGGCCACCAAGAGTTTCACTATTTTGAAAATACTCTGCAATTAACTTCAGATTTTCTGTGGATTACGCAGAAATTAACCTGTTGAGTACAAGTGATATACAAAAGAAATATAGCACTAATTTTTAAATTATACAATTTAGCTAGAACCATTATTTTCGTAGGAAATGTGAAGCAATTACTTGGACAAACGATATGTAGTTGACTGCATGCATACATATAATGTGCAGAAGTGAGAAGTAAAACATTGTAGTTACGATCACATAAAACGGTACAAATTAGGCTGCCCTTCTTAGTATTTCTATCAGGCTCAGTTTCTCACTATCTATCCATTTCTTGGGTAAAAAAATATAAGACAACAAAGAATTTGAGATTCTCAAAGCAAGTTGCGCCAGTGATTGCTTGCTTTATTCATGCATGTGCCCTTTTAGGAAAATCAAAATGCAAGTAATTATAATAGCCCAAAAGGACAGTAAAAGGTGTTTTAGAATTTATGTTCAGCCCGATGTACCTATACAAATAATGTTTCAAACTTCAGATCACAGAAAGGCATCTTTCGTGTTTAACAATGACTACCATATTAGCAAAGATCATTTCGCATTATATGTGTACAGTCATAACTTCCTTATTCACCATGCAGAAGCAACAGAATTACAAACTGATATGGGCAACAATTTGGATCTACAGGTTCTCTATAGTATTTTAACAAAAGGCCGCAGTAATTTTAGATATCTATTTTCGAGTTTCCTTCAAATTCATTCAAGTTTATGTTTTCCCAAACAATAGGGAAAAAGAATGTTAGAATTTTACACCTTGAGCAGAAAATTTATAAGAAGAAAACGAGAGAAAAACAACACCTGACCAAGGCTAGCTGCAGCAATTGGCTGGTCCTCGAATTCCTTAAACAGTACATTGATAGGAGCTCCCAGTTCGTTCTCAATGAAGCCTCTTGCTTTCTTTGGTGAGAATGCAGGGACTTTATCCTGGAAAGCAATACAAATGATACATGCAAAACAAAAACTTCACACTAGAGAAATGAGGATTTGGAACTACAATTGTTTTATAAAGAAGCATTCATGTATAGATTTGAGTGTAAACATCTAAGAGCATAATGCGATGACAAAAAGCCTCATCCAAATTAACGATCACAAAGAAAGAAAAAGTACCTGCAATTTCGCAAGCTCGTCCACGAACTCGCGTGGAAATAAATCTGACCTTGTTGACGATAACTGTCCAAGCTTAATAAAAGTAGGACCGAGTTGCAATACACGCTCTCTTAGCCATGAGGCTGTCTCCCTTCTCCTCTTTTTCTGCAGTAGATAAAGAAAAGCTATCAGAGCCAAAAAGCAAGACAAAAGATACAGTTCAAATTCAAATGAAACAGTGAAGACCGAAGATTATGGATATTAGCTAAGTAAGAAATAATAGATATTCTACTATGCAAGCTATTGATTGGAGGAGTATAATTCAGAAGAGTAAAAAATTCACCTGCTTATCCTCGGTGAAGCCCCCTGCATATGCCCATTTGGCATTGTCCAATAGAACTCGTACACGTAAAGAAATAACAAAAGACCAAACATCTATAGTCCTTTGCAAGGTACTGTAATTCTCGTTGGCCCAACTGAAATTTTCATCTGAAGGCAGAACCTTTAACTCCTCTAATGGTGGAAGTTCTTTAGATACTCTCGATACAGGCTTCTGTACAAGGGATGGACTGCTGTTTCTCCTAACTATGCTAGCACCATTTATAACCTGCTTTACACCATTTACCTTCTCCACTTTCCCAGTAGCAGGAGCCTTTCTTTTTACTACCTCACTCGCAGGCACCATTTTAACAGCTCGCCCATTGACTCCTACTTTTGGGGCTGGTTCAGTTTGTTGCATTTCCACTTGAAACCTGAATGATTTATCTGCCATAGGAAGATTACGTATTTGCCTCTCCAACTTAGCAAACTGATTTGAAATCGAGCTCGAAAAACTGAGAGTACCCATAGTTCTTCCTTGGTTCACCACTTCAAAATTGTAAGAATAACAACTGTGTGATGCCAGTATTGCTGCCATATCAGCGGCAAGCACCTATAGAGTTTTGATAGTAATTCAAAATATAGGATGAGAAGCAGCAAGCTCAAGCTTAAGTATTAAATAGTTGACCAAAGTATGGCAGCTATAAAGTTAGTAGGAACACAATCAAATTCTAGAACTACTGTATGAACTAAGAAGCTTTTCTTAAAAGAATCAGCAAAATAATTGATCCAACAAAACAAGATATATCTCAATTATGAATCAAAAGGCAAGGAATCAATATTATCAAAGATGACAAATTTGCAGATGGCAGGACATTTGAACTGTAAAAAAACATAAACTTCAATTAATGAATCTAACAACGCCAACAAAATTCCAAATACTATAAATTCAAACAACAAATGAACAGTAAAGAATAATATTATCTTAACCCCAATTTATTTTTTCCAAAAAAAAAGGATCTTTGAATAAAGCACCCACCAGAAAAGAAGATGGCTATGAATTTTTTAATATGGGGCAAAGCTATTTGTTGGGTTTTAAAGGCTCTTTCCTTTCTTCTCAATGATTGGAAAGGGAAGGGAGGAGTACCTTAATGGAAAACAAAAGGAGAAGCAAGCAAGCAAGCCACGATTGCCTGTTTGAATGAGATTGGTTGAGTGTTGACGTGTCCTTCCTTGGTTTCCCCAAAATTCAAGGTTTCTAGCCAAACCCAAATTTGTTTAGACTTTGTAAGAAACGCTTGCCTCTTTCTTTTGTTTATTTATTTTCACATTTTTTTCTTTCATTTTTCTGGTTTCTGAGGCTTTGTCTTTTTTAACAAATAACAATACAAGACAAACAAGAACAGTGCATCTCATAGGTAACCACATTTGTTATTGCTATTCACTGTTCAGATTCTTCTCCATGTCGGCTATAATGGTTTTTTTAGGGAAGTTGGGATGTGAGACGGAATAATATATAGTTATTTTATAACCTAACTGATCAAATAGGTGATATGTTAAAAGTGTTATTCAAAATGTTATATGTTTTCACGTAAAATATTATTTGTATTGGTAATAATTGGGAATATTATCGTTGTATGTAAAATGCGTAAAAAATATTAACCTTAACATAACCGGTTAATTATTGGAAATATTATCAACAATAATAACATAACAGGTAGCGTTTATGTAACGTAATAGGTATCGTCTTTTTAAAGCTGATAAGGCCTTAGAAATCTGACGATAACAAAATATGTTAATTACTTAATTTGTTATCAATATTATCATCATATTTGGTAGCGCTTAAAATGTTATCAAAGTTTAAACTGATGGAGGGTTAGAAATTTGACGATACCAAAATAGGTTAATTACTAGAAACATTATCAACCATAATAACATAACAAGCAATGTTTATTTAATGTAATAGGTAGCACCTGTTTAAAATTGATGGGGCCTTAGAAATCCAACGATAACAAAATAAGTTAATTACTTGATTTGTTATCAGTATTATCAACATATTAGGTAACACTTAAAATGTTACCAAAGTTTAAGTTGATGAAGCCTTAGAAATCCGACGATAACAAAATAGGTTAATTACTGAAAACATTATCAACCATAATAACATAACAAGTAGCGCTTATTTAATGTAATAGGCAGCGTCTGTTTAAAGATGATGGACCTTAGAAACCTGACAATAACAAAATAGATTAATTAATTGATTTTTTCAATATTATCAATAAATTACATTATATATTGTTAATTTACCTATTACTTGTATCGAAATTATAAAAATTGATATTTATATGACAATATCGATACTTGTACATTTACGCCTATTTTCATTATACCAGTAGAAATGTTTACCGTGTACATTGTTAATTTACCTATTACTTTAAAATAATATGTTTCGAAATTCCACGGAACGATACTTGATGTTTACTCCTATTATCATTATACAATTATACTTTTACCGTTTTCATTGTAAATTAACCTATTACTTTAAAGTAATAGGTTTCGAAATTATAAGTATCGATACTTTATATATGTTTATTGATACATTTTACGTGCAAATTGTTTAAGAAACATACTGGAATGAAAGTATCGATACTTATATAGACAGTATCAATATCTGGTATTTACGCCTATTATCAATATATCGGTAGACTTTTATCATTTACATTGTAAATTTACTTATTATTTTAAAGTAATCAGTTTCGAAATTACGTGTATCGATACTTTGGACATGTGTATCGATACATTTAGCGTGCAAATTGTTGAGAAGCATACTAATAACAATATCAATACCTATCTATAAAGTATCGATACTTGGTATATACGCCTATTATCATTATACCGATAAAACTTTTACCCTTTATATTGTTAATTTACCTATTACTTTATAGTAATAGGTTTCGAAATTCCAAGCATCGATACTTTGTACATGTGTATCGATGCTTTTGACGTGTAAATTGTTTGGGAATCATACTGGAATAAAATTATCGATACCTATATTAAACGTATATATATTTTATGTTTACGTCTATTATCAATAAACCGATATATTTTTACGGTTTACATTGTTAATTTACCTATTACTTTAAAGTAATAGGTTTCAAAAGTCCAAGTATCGATACTTGTTGTATGTGTATCGAGACTTTTTGCGTGCAAATTGTTTGAGATGCATACCGATTATAACAATATCGATACCTATATAATATGTATCAGTACTTTATGTTTATGCCTATTATCATTAAACAGGTAGATTTGTATCATTTGCATTATGTAGTGATACTTGTTATATGTGTAGCGATACTTTTTGCGAACAAATTGTTTGAGATGCATACTGGAATAACAATATTGGTACATATATAATAAGTATCGATACTTTATATTTATGCCCATTATCATTAAATCGATAGATTTTGACCGTTTACATTGTAAATTTACCTACTACTTTAAAGTAATAGGTTTTGAAAGTCCAAGTATCGATACTTGTTATATGTGTATCGATGTTTTTTACATGCAATTTGTTTTAGATGCATACTAGAATAAAAGTATCGATACTTATATAATACATATCGATACTTTATGTTTACGCTTATTATGTCACACCCATAACCCGTATAATTATACCTATACAGATTATAGATGTTATCCTAATTTCTAAAAACCATTTCTCAATTTGTTCTCGATTTATTTAAAATTTATTTTCTTAAAATGGTAAATGATATTATAAAAATATCATATCATATAAATCATATTTCGTTGTAACCAATTTAATTCGAAAGATTTTTTTATGAATAGTGAACAATACCTGTGAACAGTGAACAGTGGGGGAATCGGTTCCCTGTTAGGGGGAATCAGTACCCCTTTTACATACTGGAATTTTTTTTGCTTAAAACGTGGTTACTGTTCATGCTACAGTAACTTCCGAAAATACATATAATTTCATAAAAATTAACCTTTCATCACTATAAAAGTTCCCAAAAATTTATTCAACAATTAAATTAAACATTTCCAAATTACATGCCACTATCTAAAATCAAATTCCATAGTAGGATGTCTTACTGATATTGAAATATACCTTTCGATGCTTGATGTCGTTCTGAACTCTTTATTCTTATTCTTTGCTTTTTACCTACGCGTGAAAATCATCACACGCTAAGTATAAACTTAGTGAGACAATTAAAACATTTAACAGTGCAATACAATTCATGCATGATTTTCAATGTCAAAATCAAATTTCCATAAAATCATTTTACTGATATATATCAAATATTTTACCATGAACAATATAATATAAAAACTCTGACCTTTTTTCCCCCATAAGTTCGTAAGCTTATTTTACCAAAATACTTACCATTTAAATTCCATAAGCTCGTAAGTTTATTTTATCAATATACTTGCCATTATTCATAAGCTCGTAAGCTTATTTGCATACTTACCATTTATTAACCAATAAACCATAAATCATAGCCCATAATATAACTGTATGAGGAACCCGGTATAGGAGTCAAATATTGCACCGAAGTGCTGAGGTTGAGCTTTTGCTCACCTAAGAATGCACCGTAGTGCTGAGGTCAGGATTTACCCACCAAGTACACCGTAGTGTTTGTATTGTGTCTTCACTAGACACTAAGGCCTGCACTATGTGCCTTCTCTAGACACTCTAGTGCTACCTAATATTGTAGCTTCTAGACTCTATGGAATGCCATTAATACCACTGATCCTCAATATCATACTTGGGCATATAATCAATTTTATTTAATCCATCCATGGCAAAGTATATTATCATAATTTAACAATGGGGTAGTTCATACCCGAAATAACATTCATGGTAAAAAATCATATACAAAATTCAGTGATCAATGCATTTTAATTTCATACAATATTGGTACCAAAAGATGGCGTTTTTCGCATATAACAATTTTATTTTTACAACTTACTCAAAATCCTAAGTAAATTGCTTGAAAAATTGAGTTGAAATTTTTCTCTTACCTTAAGAGAAACCCATGGCTTGGAGAAGAAGATGAGCTGAAAATGCTTCCCCATCATAATACTATAATATTAAATAAATCTAGCACATATCTTATAATAGAATTATTTTATTCAATTCAATAGGAAATTCCATTTTTGCCATTAATGAATCTCCATAATCACCATAAAACCAAGCCATCTGATTATTATCATATTACAAAGTCAAACATAAATTATTTTGACTTTGACTTCTGAAATTCACCTTGAATTTTCAAATCTTGCGTTTTAGTCACTAAATTCCACTATTTCGGTTAAATCTGAAAATTTGCACATTTTCAGACCAAATTTCTCTGATCCAAAATATTAAATAATATTTCCAACCATTTTATAACATCCTTCAATTTTTTTTAAAATTTCAATTCGATCTGAAATACCGATTTCCATACCGGCTTTAACCCTTTCTAGTTTTTCTTTACTAAAATTCCAAATCCAAAATATATGGTTTCTATAACTCCACTATCAAGAGTAAACCATCTATTTATGGAATAAAAATTCTTTTTAGGAAATTATCACTTAATTCCCTAAGTTTTCCCCTAAATTTCTACTTTGACCATTAAACTTTCAAAATTTGCATTTTGGTCATTGTCTAAATTTTTGGGGTATTACACATTATCATTAAACCGATAGATTTTTACCGTTTCCATTGCATATTTACCTATTATTTTAAAGAAAATGGTTTCAAAATTCTAAGTATCGATACTTGTTATATATGTATCAATACTTTTTTGCATACAAATTGTTTGAGAACCATACTGGAATAAAAGTATCGATACAAACCTAAATAGTATTGAAACTTAGATATTTTCATACTTTGCATACATTGTTTTGAAATTATAAAAATCAATACTTTAATAATGTGTATCGATACATTTGGTGTGCAAATTGTTTTTACAAGCGTACTGGAATAAAAGTATCGATATCGGCACAACACGTATCCATATTTATAGTAACGTGTATAAACTTATAATCAAAGTATCGATATTTTCATTAGTGGTATCGACACGTCCAGTTAAATTTATTGCATTTGGTATTTATTAATTGTACAAACC